GGCGGAGGCAGCGTGCCACGTCTTCGCAGTTCAGTAGGCCCTCGCATCCGGACAGAAGTGTGCACCACAATCTATATATAGCTTTCCGAAATCGCGCTGGGCTCTGTCGATGTCCAATTCTGAGCTTCCCGCTATCCGGGACAAGCTCTCGCAAGATGTCCTGGCCCATCTGCTCGGGCCCAATGTTGCAACAAGCTGGGCACGCAGTCTCCGCCTGGAGCATCTCCACGGTGAAATGGTCGCCTGCCACGCGCCGGGAAGAATCCCTACACGACATCCTGATTCCGGATCCTGAAAACTTGGTCGTTGGATCTCGGTGGCTACAAGGTTCGATAGGGATGTATTGAGATGCTGCTTCGCTGTACTGCACCAGCCATGCAACAGTTGGAGAATCCACGCTTCGCACTTAACTTTAAATTCGAGAAGTATAAATTGAACTTCTTTCCACATGCTAACGATATTTAGCCCGGATCAAAGTCAAGCATATAATTGACTCCGAATTTATTTGCAGACTGATGAACTTGCCGGATGTGTGACAAATCGTGTCGGGATTCTACGTAGATAAAGGGGGCAACTGAGGGGACTCACCTGGGCCGGGTTCTGGCCTTTGAGGTTCCTGACGATGATGCGGAGAGCGTCCTTGGAGATCCTCCGTGTGCCCGGGCCCCCCTGGCAGAGGAGAAGCGGGCAAGAACAATGGAAGCTTCAGCAATCGACCCGGAGGCTTCAGATCGGGCAACAAGCCCATTGAGAGAAACGAAAACTCGGATGGGTCAGCGTGGTGAAGCAAGAGCAAGATCAGCCAGACGATTCGAGGCCACAGGACAGGGCAGTATGATTCCGAATCAAACCCAACTTGTCGAAATACTGACACACTACACCAGCCTATCCCCGCACTGAACCGCACTACTTGTCACTTAGATGTACCTGCAGCTCCCAGCCCCGCCCTCCAGCCACCAGCTGGATGTCTGCATCTTCGAGGAAGGCCGCCAGCTGGTTCTTGTCAGGTGCAGTGGAACGCCGAGGGGCCTCCACTTGCTCCCTACGGCTCGTGATGCTCAGGAGCTCCACTCGCTTAAGCGCTTAGCGGCGGCGCAGGAAGAAGACCGTGGACACCTGGTGCTTCGGCCCCCCCTGGGTTGAGGCTTTAGGATTTAGGGTTCAGGGTTCAGGGTTTAGGGTTGAGGGTTCAGGGTTTAGGGGGGTTCAGGGCTTAGAGGCTTCAGGGTTCAGGGTTGTACAATCGCTTGGAAAAGTTACGGGTTCAAATCGGCTATGCTACAGTATACCTTTGAAAGTTTTGTGGACTCCCAAAATTGGGCGGTGCGAAACAGCCGAGAAGACTCCGAGAAGACCTCTAGTTAGCAAGCTTCTTCCTGGATTCAGGCAACTCAAACTCCAACACCATAAGGCCACCCTGAACCAAAAAAATCATGAAACCCCTAAGCAAAAATCCGCATGTCTCCGAGCCAGGGTGAGCTAGAGTTTAGGATTCTGTGTTCAAGCAAGGGAAAACCCCAACCACACTGAAGCTTGAAGCCTACACCCTCAAACCAAAACCCAGCTCCTGAAACCCTATGAACCCGACACCTGAACTCAGAACCCTCTTCCCCTAAAAACCCCTAAACAGCAAAACTCGACACCTGCTGTGGAGACTTTGTGTTGGATCCAGAGCATGGTGGTCGTCACATCGCCGATCCTTTCTCTCCAAAAGTAGGCTCGGGGGACGTTTCTCTGTTTTTGGGTGGGTTAGATCTCTAATCTCGGAGCTGTTGGGCTTGACATATGGGTCCGGTATAGGTTTGGGATTGTCTGATAGGGATTCGTGAGGTCTTGATTAGCTTTCGGGTTTGAGTGCTCAGGGCTTCACGGCGTTTGGGGTTGGGGTTGAGGGTCTCAGGGTTAAAGAATGTATCTAGCTTTGGGATTAGGGTCCAGGATGTCTGGACGACGTCACGTCGAAAGATTGAAGCCGAAACCCCACACCCTCGGTGAAGGCTACAGCGTTTGGCCTGTAGCGGCGTGATGTGCCGTGATGTTTGGCTGTGAAACGCTGAAGTGCCTCAAAGCCAGCAGCCCCGAAACTCCCAGAGATTCCAGCTTACTGTAGGGGCCTTAATACTTAGAATAGGGTCTTGGGGCATATCATACTACAGTTATACTAAGGAACCCCAAAATAGTATTGGAATATATTTAGCCTCCTTTCTTACATGGGGTTGCCGTGGATGGCATCAGTGCTCTTCGCTTCAGGGTTTAGGGTGTTGGCTTTAGGGCCCAGTGTCGTTTGGGTTTTAGGGTTTAGAGCATATGTTGTAAATTTCGGGTGTTAGGATTTCGGGTTTAGCGCATTACAGGCCGAATCCCCTGGACCCCTGCGTACCATAACTATGACTATAACCCACTCCTGCTTCCTCCTACCTCCAAAACACCGTGAGGTTTGCAAGTGTGGCCGTCTCCGGTGTGATAAAGAGAATGATATGCAGCATTCTGGTACCATATCCCCTTATCGTAACCCTTTGAAGAACCCCTTGAAGGACCCCAAAAAGACTCCTTTAAAGACTTATTTGGAGAACCCCGTAAAGAAAGGGCCCTAGGAGCCTGAAACAAAAGTGGAGCGAGTGGCGGACTCCAGGCGCCTCCGGCGTTTGCAGCCACCACGACGACACCTTGGCGTCAGCTCTTTCGGGCTCAAATGGGTACCAGAAGGGTCCCCTTCGAGGTTCCTTAAGGGTTTGCTACACATCACCTTGACGGGTTATATATACTTTCAGGGTTCCCTAGTGGCTTTCCGAGGTTTGAGGGCTTCTAGGGCGTTTGTGGTTGTTGGGTTTAGGTATTTAGGGCTTTACGGTTTTAGGGATGGCAGGTTTTAAAATGGGGAGTAAGTCACTACCTCAAGCCCTGAAATGTAAAGGGCTTCATGGTTGGAATAGGGTTTCGCAGTATGTGAAAGATGACAGTATAGTCAGACACTATGGACCCCTAACGAAAACATCTGCACCCGAAACCACTTCCCTCGAAAAGCCTAGAAACCCCAACGCTCGCAGAGGTGCGAAGCTCCGGTGGCAACAGCATGGTGCGAAGGGAACCCCTAAACCCCGTTTAGGGTTTAGGGTTTAGGGGCTTAGGGGTTTAGGGTTTAGGGGGGTTCAAAGAGAATGAGCCCCCAGGGTCAACGCAGCCCTCCCCTCTGTGCCTCCGCAGCTGTGGCGCCAGTCCTCTCTGCATCTCTACATCTTGAACATCCTTTAAGGGTCAGGTGGGTCAGGGCCGTACTTTCGAGTTTTGGGATATGAAAGGCTCAGAACTCGTCTGAAATCGGTTTCGATGCCCTGCAGACAAAAATCGAATTTGAGGTTGCAGCAAGGAGTATAACAACAATCTTTGTCGAAGTGCCCTGCCCTACGCCTTGGAAACCCTAAACCCTAAACCAAGAACCCCTTTTGGACCCTTGGGATCAGGGCCTTTGCGTGAGGAAGAAAGCTGAATTCGCTGCATTCACTGCTGTGTCCACCGACTTGGGAGGGTTTTGCGGTTGGGTGTAAAATTTAGTAAGGCTTTAGGGCCTAGGGCTTTAGGGTTTCAGGGCTCTGCGGATTTTGGGGTTGGAAGTTCGGGCATCCTGGTTGTGAGGCACCACCCGCTGCAGGATTTTGATGCACACGATGGTGGCGGTGAGATTGTCGATCACCTGGCGGGGAAGGGGGGTTCCTACCATAAGGGTATAGAAGGGCACAACAGGGGTCAGGTTTAGTTTTAAGGGTCCTATGAAGCGTCATATTAAGACATTAAGACTAACTTTCATGGCTTTTTGCTGTTAAAGCTTTTTGATGGCTCATGAGGTCAGGGTCTCCGCGTGCCCGCCTTGTTGTAGGACTGCTCGGGCTTACAGACTAACGCTCGACTTCTACACCTTAAAGCCTGAACCACTAAAACACTAACCCCCAAAAATTCCCCTAACCTGGGTGAAGGCTCGCTTAAACCCGCTTAAACCCTCCCCACCGAACTCAGGAAGAAGGCGATGATGCAGACGATGGGCATCAGCCGCCCGGCCTTTGGGGGGGTCAGGTCTGTGGACGGGGTCCATTCCCTCCTGTTCCCGGGACTGACAGCTTGGCTTGCCAGAGAGCCCAATACCCCTTAATTAAGGAATATACCTTAAATCATGATATTAAGGCCCCTACAATTTAAGGTATATTCCTTAATTAAGGGGTATTGGGCTCTCTGGGTTAGGGTTGAGGGTCCGGGGTTAAGGGCTTGGGATGGTCATAATCCCTCCTTCCAGTTCTTGGCGTCCATACACTCAAAACTTCTGTATTATGCAAGACTGCATGCTTCTGTCGCCACAGGCCTTCTCCTGTGTGTGGCGGACGATGAACGCTGTGACAACTGCGAAGCCATTCCTTGGGTCTCTGCCACTCCGGGGACTTCAGAAGACTCAGAGGATTGCCTGGTCAAACTTTACGGGTCTGACTAGTTGGAATAGGATTTTGGACGTTCTGCACTAACTATCTCTAGCTACATGAAGGAATAGCTTTGTGGGCTTTGGGTCTATTCCAAAAAGCGCACTTGAGTTTCTGAAGCTCACAGATTTAAGGACCACGCAACTTAGTTCTGCGTGGGAGGGACAAGGTGCCAGGGCGTGGCATCCAAAAACAAAAGAAATTCTAAACCCCCAACCATACACCCTAAACCAAAACCCTGAACCCCAAAACCCTAAACTCTGTGCAGTTTTCTTGAGAGAAGACCCCTGCAGAGTACTCGCCGATCACCAATGCACAAACGTCACTTCGTGAAACTCCTAAACCCCAAACCGCCTGAAAATCCAGGAAGAGGTGGACTGCCAAAGGCTGGAGCAGGAGATATGGCAAAGGGCCTTATCCCTCAAGCCCCGGTTTAATCCCATCTTAGATCTTGCTCAGGGCACATGTGATCGATGGACTCCACCACGCACATGGCAGGCAACAGAAACAAGATGACGCTGCCAACCTGCTCAAGATCTCTGTCTTCTTTCGTGCTTTGTGGTGGACAGGGCTTGAGGCTCAGAAAGGTACCAGACCTACGGAAGGCTTGCTCACCTGGACCTCTACCAGGTTCCTTACGGACAGCCTCGCTCAAGCATCATGAAAGGAATGTCATTTGGAGCCCATAATGCCTCATCCCGACAATTCCTGCCAACTTTACAAACATACAAACACCAAAAACCGTCTACAATCCTAATTACAGTCTGTCAAATCCAAAACCCCAAACCAAGAAATTTTCAAACCCCACAAACTTGAAATCCGGAACCCGCCCCCGTTAACACGGCTCCCGGGCCTCAAAGAGTCCTTTCATCAGTTCCTCCTCGAGGAGCTCGTGCCCTAGCGGAAAGATTCAGAGAGTTTTGGGTGATAGGATTTAGCGCTTATATAGTTTAGGCTTTGGGGTTTGGGGGCTTTAATAATTAGGTTTCAAGTTTAGGCTTTAGGGTATTTTAGGGTTTAGGGTTTAGGGTTTAAAGTTTAGGCTTTAGGGTTTAGGGTTTAGGCTTTAGGGTCTAAAGTTTAGGCTTTAGGGTTTAGGGTTGTTCTAGAAGAGAGATCCACAGAGTTTTGGGGAGGTCTCGGTCCCGCTGTTTCCATGTGGCGTAGTTCTCGAAGATACTCAAGAAATTACGGCACCCTTATAAAAAAAACAAAACGAGACCCATAAAGGGTCCCTGATTTAGAGAACTATACCCATGTATGTCAGGAGCTTGAGGCGTAGTGTGCTCGGGGTTTAGGGCCGTTTAGGGTTTAGGGCGTTTTTGATCATTGGAACCCAGAGGTTGCCGCGACTAGGTTCAGAGCTGTACAAGGTTTCGAGTTTAAGGTTCAGGTAGGTTTAGGCTTGGGGGGGTTAGGGTCTGGAGCTATACAAGGATATACGTATGCCAGCATAGCAAGAAGAGCAGAATGTCGGTCTGCCACGTCAGGCGCAGAACCCTCTCGCAACCCTGCAATCGACCCACAAGGAACACCCATCGCTAATGTCCATGTTTGGGGAATACTGGACGCCCCAGACCAAACACACACAAGGCCCGAACACTCGAAAGACGTATCTGCCTTCTGCAGATCTGGCATGAATGCCCGCCGCGTGATACGTCCACATCCTTGAAGGAGGTCTTTGGAGATGCAAACGGAAAGGTGCCCAGGGTTCAGAACAACATGGCCTTTCTTATGTTCACATGAAGGTATGGGCCTTTGCACCATCCCTCAAACCCAAACCTAATTTGGTGGGGTAGTAGCTGCATTTAACTCGTCGTCGGACTCTCTACAAGCACTGTAGTCTTTAAGGGTGCTTCTCGTGGCTACGTTCGAATGGACTCAGAAGAAGGACTGGTAGGGCATTAGGGGAAAGGCGCAAGGTTTAGGCAGTTTGGGTAGGAGCCTTACCGCTTCCAGGGGGCACGGAAGCCAAGACAAGCATGATCGCCGACTTGTCCAGTCGCAGAACATCCTCTCAGGGAGGCAGGGTCTAGGGCCGTTTAGGGGTTATAGGTTTAGTGACCATTCGACGAGGTGCTGCTGACAATGTTCCTTGAAGAGCCTAATTTGACGCTCAAAATAACTGTAGCAGTAGCCCTCAAGGGCCTAAGAAGTGCACAAAGGCGCTTAAAGGATGCCAGTGATACTTCTACTACCCAATGTACGCAAGTTGCTCATAGCGCAGCACAGGTTTAAGGCTATTGTCCGATTTGGCTGCTGTATTGCTGGCCCTTTCGGCTATCCTGGACAAACATTCTCTGAGTCGATTACAATCCTCACTTTGTGAGAGAAGCTTCGCCGTGGGGAGAGGATAAACAATGCTTATATTATGGCTTATATGGTGTCTCTAACACTCTGCTCCCTTGATTCATGCGTCTTGCAGACATTTCATGTCCCCAGAAGGTTGTCCCCCACTGTGCTATCGACAGTGCATCATTAAGTCGAAGAGTCGAACCGTCCAGGGAAGACTTCTCCTACAAAACTTGCAGTGGGCTCTACACAGGACCAGGGGTCTGCAATGCCTATACCATCTGCGAGCAGGTTCCCTAACACACCCGTAACAACTTGGCAAACAGACTCCGGTGCACCCACCAACGCGTCGAGAGCTTAGCAAGCCTCCAGCGCCACGAGCGTGATGCCGGTGATGAAAAGCGCTGCTAAGACCCTGAGGGCTTGGGCGAGTACTGGGAGCCATTGGGGCAGGGTTGACTAGGTCAAACTCTGTGTCTACAGCACTCTGACATGCATACCAAAAATTCGACAAGCTCCAAAACTTCAAGCCTCTACCCAAGCTCTACCCTGCACCCTGGATCCCATCAACCCCAAAGCACCCCTGTGCGCGCCTCCTGTGCGTGGCTGCATCCTCCAAGAGGTTCGTGGGCCAACCTGGCAGGGGATTTCGAAAACCCTGTAAACATCCCGACAATCCTCGACCTTAACGTCAACTTCAAGAGAAAGCATAGCAGGAAACCCCACTGATCCTGGAACTCTGCACGCCCGAGGGGCCGAAGAATGCGAAGGCAAAGGCCAGAGCGAAGAGGGCAAGACCTGACAAAGGCACGGAAAACTACACAACAAAGGCTTTGGGGAGTTTGGTGGATTAGGGTTTCGGTTTTGGGATACTAGTATGGGCCAGACCTGACAAAGGCACGGAAAGTGAATGTAGCGTTTGGGGAGACAATGATCAGCATCTGGATGTGGGATACATTGTAAAACTGCTTGTCCATGTTACATTAATGTGAGGGGCCTGAGTGTTTAGAACAGGGTTTCGGGATGGTGGATCATAGTATGTAATCTATAAGAAGGAACCCTAACGCTTGGTATAATGCTATGTTACCTCCTCTCAGTACGACCATGTACGACAGGTGGAATGCCCTCGTCAGCATCGTCATCAGTCGTGGTAGTAGAAGCCAGGCTGCTGTAGGGGTTCAGGACAGTTTAGGAATTCACTGGATTTGGGCTTCTGGCGGCATTCCTTCATGCAACATCTGGCTCTTTGCCTGTCGGCGCGGGGCCGCCTACTTAGTCTCGTGTAGTCCGCATCAACGGATCGGGGAGGGATCGCTCAAGCCCGCAAATTGGGTCGGCATTTGAAGCCTCTTAAGTGCTGGAACACAGAATTGGGTTTACCAGTATACTGTCTAGGGAGGCTAAGAGTCGCAGAGTTCCGGGCTTACTGGCCCTCTGCATAAAGCCCACCTGCGATCTTCATCGTGCGGCGTGTGGTTGTCACAGCGCCTTGCACGACCTGCATGTTAAAAGCTTTTCTCGAGGGTTGTCGGCAATATGACACCCTATTAGCGCTCACCGCAACTACGTCTTTTCAAGCCTTCCTGTCGCCAACTTCTCAAAGCTAATCGGCGAGGATGCCTTCAACAAACTTGAAAACATGAACACCGGAGAGCTCAAAGAGGTCGGCACCCTGCTAACTTTTTTGAACAGTACATCTAAACAACCAACCAACCCACCCGGTCCTAACAGTCTCCCGAAAGCCATCAAAGCCAAGCATTTAGTCCTGCCAAAGCCCTAAACCTGGATTGCCATATCCTTTGAAGTCGAAGTCACATAAGGCCCTATCATTATAAGGTATTGAACCCTACGTCTCTGTGTGGCTCCGTGAAAACAACAGTCCTACCACGCCTAACCAGCCGAAAAAAACAAAAAGAAATACCAAAAATTACACATGCGCCAGCAAAATCCAGAAGTCCGCTTTGTCACCGGCGCAGGCCGCCCCTGCCACCGAGGTGGGACTGGCGACCCTTGCCATGGACCTCGGTGCAGCTTTGGTTGCCGGGCTTTGGGATAAAGAGACGCCCTAAATCCAGACGAAGGCTCGGCTCGCTCCCCTCAAGCACGGCAACTTCTGCGGCACTCATGGCCTCAGAGAAGCCGGGCTTTGCGGCTTGCCGGGGCCGGCAAAGGTGCTCGGAACTTTTGTGGGCTTAAGGCTTCTACAGCTTAGGCTCGGGGAGTGCTGGACGTTGTGGCTTCAGGGGCTCCTCTGCTTGGGGATGCTACAGCACGAGCGAGGTGAGGGGTGCAAAAATAGACACAGCTTGAACGACGGTTCCGACCCCGGCTTCTTTAAAACTTTATAACCCCCGTTCCGAGTTCGCTGACGGACATGCAGACACCTGGAATCTTACGGTTGAGGAGTGCGCACCTTCAGAGCTTAGAACGTTTTAAGGCACTCTACAAACATCGAGTCAATCAAAAACAACATAAGCCAAGGGGCGCGGCAGGGAACTGGCGGAGAGAAGCGGTATCACCAGAAAGGGTGATCTGAATCGCCACTTTTGGGCGGAAAACGATCTTGTCTGCGGCACACGGGCGCAAGGTTCAGCCCCTCACACCCTGAACCCGAAAGTCCCAAACCGGGAAGTCGGAGCAGGCGTCAACAATTAAGCCGAAGATTCTTAATTACCTGAAATTGCCCTCCCAACGAAGCAAGCTTCAGATGTCGGAGCCGGGATCAAGAAGTGCTCGAAACCACGGGGTCGTGCAAGTTTTCACGGGTCTGGACATCGATGATCTTCCACGCGTTGCACGGAAGCACTGGGGCATGCTGCGGCACACCCTTCGGCTTGCTACGGGAATCCTGTTGGTGAAAACTTCACCCTGTTCTCCCCTTTCAACTTGAAGATTCAGCGTCGACTTCCAGGCTTGCAGGCCCCGAATCACCCAGAAGCTCTCATCAAAGAAGCGGTGACACACCCAAAAACAACACCAACTTCCCGATCTTAGGCCCCAGACAAGATTTCACATGGGTGTTCAATCTTCTAGGGATGAAACACCCCTCACATGCTCAACCCATCTGGACCCCGGAACATCGGAGCCCCAAGCTTCTCGTGATCCTGCTTTTCGGCTGCAAAGTCTGTCAGGAAGACACTTTGGGGTTTAGGGGGCCTTTAGGGGTTAGAGGTTTAGGAGTTTTGGTTCAAGCGCCTAAGAATCCGAACACCTTGTCCCCACAGTGCCCGGCATACTTGCTCTCACTGCTGGCTCCGCAGCCCATGCGCTGGGAAGAACACTGCAATGTCCAGGGCACCCTCGATAATAGCTTTGCGTTGGGGATTGTGTTTTCAACATGTCACGGTTTGACTTCCAGATTTCTGCACCAGCTCCTTGGTTCAATTCGCTTGGACATCGCATAAGAGACTAAGCTACAAAGTTTGGAGTTCGAGCAGCACGAAGTTTGGGGAGTCGCATGTCAATGACCTACTCGCCTACTCGGTGCTTGACGGTTCAAGGCACAGACATTCAGCAGATGATCGAGTTGCTGAGCTTTACAGTACAGTGCTGCTTTAAATGCCTTGGGACAGCACTTGAGCCGCAGAAGACCATCACAAATGGAAGGACGCAGCTCCGGCGGAGCCGCTCTTCGGCTTCGGACGCTGCACATTGGGGTCGGTGCAAGACATGGAGTGCCTCAAACCCGAATTTCGCGACTTGACCGAGTGTTAGCCTCGGATCCTGACCCCAGTCCTCAAAGGTCCCAAACCAGCAAAGACCCAAGACCAACACCAAAGCACGACTGCAATGCTACGGCGACATGTGACAAGTTTGAATGCTCGGACTCCACCACACCGCGAGGTAGATCCGAAGCGCTCGGGAGAAAGGCCACCAGCGCGCCGAGGCTGAGGCCTCGCAGCCGAAAGAGACCAAGCCCCGAAGTCTCCCACGGAAGCCACGACCACACTCCGGGCCAGTCCCCGGCCGGGCCTCGGATCAATCAAAATAGATGCGTTTTTCACGCACCGGCAGCGCAGCGAAGGTGGCTTCGAGCTTCTCCTTCACCTCCTCGCCTGGGGCATGGCTTTTGTGTGGCAAGGGCATGCAAGGTCCAAGATGCTTTGACAAAGCCCCCCGAGGCCCCGGGCCGAGCTCGATGTATGTGTATCGCAGATCAACCTCGACCTCCGTGAGCTGCGGCAGCTCTCGAAGGCTCTCCACCACGGCGGTGGCGCCCGCAGCGCCTCGGCCGGAGGCAGAGCCCGCCACTTCCGGTAGAATCTGCGGTAGAGGGAGTGGGAGTGGACATCGGCAGAAACCCGTCTCTTCAAACTTCGGCGTGGGGATTGGGCTGCACTGAGAACAGGGATCCAAGGCTTGGATCGCCTGAACGTGGTTTGTGGGGCAAGGCCATGAGGCCGCTTACCAGACCTCGAGGCGCTGGCCCAGCACATTGAACGGCAGCTGAACATCGACCTTCGTGAGCTGCCGCAGATTGCGCAGGCTCTCAGCCACAGCTGCGGCGCCTGCATCACCTCGGGCGACAGAGAGGTGAGGCCCCAAGCTGCCACGCTCCGCCCCCGGTCGCTAAGGCTGAGGGCACAATGATACACCGTCCCATGCAACTGCAGCTCTCGCGCTTCGACTTCTTCGGGGTCCGAGCAGAGCGCCCTCCGAGGCCCCGGGCCGATCTTGTTCCCACCCAGGTTCAACGTGAGCTCTTTGAGCTCCGTCAGCCG